AACTAGGCCACTAATCCACTTTGCGATACAAATTACAGTGTATTTTATTATTATTTCACTAATTGCTTCGCAATTTGATCAAACGTAAGGGACGATACGTTGATACCGGTAATCAAAAACTAGAATTAACAAAATACATGAGGAATATCCAGAAAATGCATAGCTACATACGAATGTTGAGCGATTTCGTGTTGTTTATACGATAATGGATAAACAGCTAGATATTATATCGAGGTTGAAACTAAAGTAATCCAGAAAATTTAGGTTAACTTTTATATCACGGGTCGACTCGATGAACTACTCAAACTAAAGATTTTTAGACAGACTGATATGTTCATCACATTAATCTCTACATTTTAACAGGTAATTAGAGTATTCTTAAGATACGAGTTTCAACTTGTGATTGTAAAACTAACAGCAGTCACATTTATTGAAGAAATCCAAGTACGGTGTTTAACGAATCAAGATACTACAATAAATGTACATCTTTAAAGAAAAAAGACAAAAATATAAGTAGGTTATTCGTAGCTTACATCTAAAAGCAAATCATAACCAAATTTATAGGTTCTCGATGTAGACCACTGTGGTTTATGATTAAACTTAAAAATTAACTATTATCTCAGAGCTTTATACTTTGCCAAACTTATCGAGAATAAAAGAATGAAAAAAGAACAACAGAATCGTTTTATATAAGATACACTAAAGATGTGAATAAATTATTTCGTCTTGATAATTGAATATATATATAAATATGAACTAGTTGGTTTGTAAAAACAATTATCTACAATTTCTGCACAAAACTTTTATTCGAAGTTTGATTTCACACACTCCATCATATATTTTAGTATAGGTAAGCAGAATTCTAACACAAAAATAAGCCGGTTAAACAGAAAGAAATTAGTCATGGAACGTGAGATATTCTTCGGTACAAATAATTTAATCACACATAATGACAACATATCCCGTGGTCGTATTGTCTTTCAATAGTATCCTAGTATCGATTTTCAATGGTTAAAAGAAATTCAGAAACAGACAAATATCAAATTAGATACTTAAAGATTGTATCTACGTACCCAACGATAAGACTGTCCATCATATTTACGAGCCGAGGTGAATAGGACCGTTCTAGCGGGCATATTTAAACCCATGGCAAATGTTTCTGTAGCAAATAAACACTAAATATCCATATAAAACAATAAGCAAAAAATGTAGGGTTAACAGCAAATGATTGAAAAGAATAATTATCAAAGTAATGATAAATACAGTCTTTAGAAACCCACTCACTTGTTAATATACCATGATGCTGACTTAGGAAACCTCAGAAATCTAATTTCCGAGTTAATAACACTATATATATTGAGTGAAATTAAGTTACCGAAAAATTGCTTGAGACATACATTTACAATAATATATTTTATTACCCTGACGAATTCACGACATGAATTTAGATGGTTCGGTTGGCTTTTGCCAAGTTTTGTTACTTATGGTGTAGGCGAGATCTCCCATCTGTGAACCAAAGAGCATTTACACTGAGCTATATTACTTTATGGCCATGAAACATGACCTTTATAAGTAGAAGACATAGTGAAGCTGCAGGTTTTGATCATATGTATTTTTGAAGAATTTCCCGTCTTTTGTGGAACAACCAAGTGACCAGTGTTGAGATTAGGCATATGTTGCCGCGAATGGCCCACTCAATAACCGCGACCGGTGATTATAGACGTTGAGTGATAGATCGGAATGTCACAATGTCAGTGGTGTATTCACTCTTTGTTCTCTCACAAATCTTAAATGTCAAAATTATTTTATACTTATTATTATACGAGTTCTTCCTATTTTCGTAAAGCATACTTCCACGCCTAATCCTTTTTACTACCACTGATACTACTACTTCCACCACTTTGGTATTCATCTTGATTATTTCATCTTTGTGTTACAAAAAAAGCAATCGATAAACGTATACAAACGTGAAATAAGTAAATAAATTAACATGTTCATGAATAAAGGCTTTGATTAGATCAACTCTTACAACCTGATTGTCACGTAGTCTATGTACTAAAACTGGTATTGTAAAGTCTTCGTAACTTTGCTTACATGCATGGATTCTAATTTAGATCAACGGATAATAACTCAATGAATTCATAATAGATTACCACTAAGTATCTTGAACCGTTCATAATACTTTAATATTCCGTGATTATTGTGCACTGACCGAAACAGACGATTGCTAGATAAATAAAAAATAGGAACTAGTCACCTCGATCAATAAAATAGAGTACGAGCAATGTGTCGATAGTAAAAAGTACAACACTAGGGGTAAGTGTGAGATTACTGGAATCTTTTACTAATGATAAAATTGAAAGACTAACACATGACTGATACTAATATACACCCTCTATATACAGATGTTGCAAGACAAGTGTAAACAGACATAAAATGAAGGCTTACTTTAATTAAATTCTCAGAAAATAATATTTCTATAGTTTCCTTTAATAAAGGCAAAAGACCACCATGATGTATACCAATACCACGCTTAAGCAATGGTAAGACACTCTCAACTTGTGGTAATGCGCGATCTTCAGGTGAAAGACCATCGATTGCATTGCGGAATACTTCATCAACGACTTTTTTCTCTGCATCTATACACAGAAAACCGATAACAATAATTACAGAAATTGTCAACCAATAAATAATAAAGGTGATAAGATTAGAAGCATTAAACCATAAGAAAAAATAAAATGTGTCACACATTGGGAAACCTGTTGTAACTTGTGACTGCAGGTTTTGATAAGCAGCGTTTTTATCGATCGATTCAGTGACACGTATAACACTTAAGGACGACCTAGAGTCCCGATTGGTCCCGCTCCCCTGTCTAGCCCAGCCAGTTGAGTCCAGAACGCAAGCCACAGCCTCTGAGTTATTAATCATTGTATTTCAGACATACTCTATTTATATACTAGACAAACAAACCACATCGTACCATAAAAATAGAAAACAACATTTACACAATATTTAACATGTGAAACAAACATCGACTAATGGGAAATGTCCATTTAACGTCCAAGGACACCATTCGATTTAACACGATAATTATTGGTACATTCCTCTGCATACCTAACAAAACCTGAGGAAGGTCAAGGTTGAGATATCAAATATGAAAAACTTTTGAAAATCATAAAGGTATATGACGGAAAATTTCTAGTTACAGCAAAATCGCAAGTAACTTTGATTCTGTACAGGGTTAGGGAATATTTCAAGTCACTAAGTTACATACTTTGTACGGTCATAATACAGAAAAAGATGCTAATCCTAACTTTAATTTTACAGAGTTACATTACTAATTGTCTGGGGTTATTGACTTTCTAACTGGTCTCAACATTAGTAAACAAGGCTTGGTGAGGAACATCAGGGATGTAAAAAAAATTGAGGTAACTTTATTTAACGGAACTGTTACTTATGAACAACAATAGGGTAAAAAAGCGATAAAGATAACCAGATAGAAAAAGAAGTCTAATATCATTAGATATAATAATGAATACTTTTTAATATTAATCCATGAAACATTGCTAAAATAATCATGAATATTGGGATCGAAGTTACATGGAAAACTTAGATTACAACCCAAAAATTTTGAAAAAATAAGCATACCAGTAGTGAAATCGAATTTGGCTAATTGGAGTGCATAGATTTCACACTCCTTTTTACTGAAACTAAATACAATTATGGGTTCCAAACTGCGATGTTTGACCAAACGAACAATTTGAATGACATTATTTTCAGAACCTAAAAGAAAGCGCATAATGTAAGTGGTTATATAAGAACTAATTGCTGGTTAGATAACTTGACGTATTAAGTGATTACACCACAGAAACTACGTATTATAAATGCTTGCGCTATTCAGTAAGGTGTATGTAGAATACTAGTTACAGTCATTACTTTTTTTGGAAGATATTGGCCCAAGTGACACAACACTAGAAAGTTATGAGTTGAAGTTCTGTACATTCCAGAGTAACTCATACATACTAGATACCAACACAAACGACCTGAGAAAAACATGGTGTATACAAACTATAATACAATTAAAATAATCTAACGAGGAAACAATTTGATATTCAATTGACAAGCACACTGGAAAACAAAAAGCTTTAAGATGTTCACACTTAGTGGAATTTGGTAAACATAACTTCTGTAGATAGTATGCAGTGGAAATGTTTCTAAAGAGAATAAAAACTGGTTTAAACAAATACTATCTTACCAGGCTTTAGATTATCACTTAATAAACTAATTATGGATACAAGAATAAGGGGAAAATATTATAAAGACAGGGATATTTGTACACATCTCATGGATTAAGAGGACTCAATCCAGACGTTTTACCCGATCCGAGCTACTTCGGGGAAATTATCGGAAATAAGAAAGACTGACACCATGAGCCCCATATATACTGGCGAATTTAGTTACTCTTAATAAATAGGATAGAGTGCAACTAACCACATTTTGGCACTGAACTAATATTCAATAAATAGGAAATTTGTGACCGATCCCCATACTCATCTTAAACTCCACTGTTATTGACAAAAAATTTTTTTGATTTGACATGTTTCCAAATACCTTTGACATACATACTATATATCCTGAGCAAGCTTTACTTGTTCTATATTTCCAATTTTGAAAATACAGACGATTATCACAGTGATTAATATGACCCTGGACATATTTTTTAGCGTTATATGATTACTAAAATCAAGTTACGCTAACATACATCGTATACCACAACTACTCATACGAGATAACTTACACTCATTATAAATAGTTCATTTTTATGTAATGAAGGATGATAAGGAACTTTGCAGGCACTACTTGCCTACTACATAACAACTATAATCTTAAACATATTTTAACTCAGTAAAGAAGTATGACAATTTGTGTAAACAGTATGCGCCATTCTTGATATTATTTAATTGTTAGGAATTAAAGTATATGAAAATGATTTAAATTGATTTCAGATAAATCAGATATATATTAGAGCACATATTCTGAGAAAATAGGTAACCCACGTTTATTGTAATCAACTTGTGACTTTTGTCTTTTATTTGATGATTCATCCGAAAGGAACGAGCGCATAGCTCGTTCAAAATTTTGCTCCAAATATTTACCCTATAAGAAAACATTTAAATAAGCTGATATAAATCACAAAAAACGAGGATATATATAATTAATTATTATCTAATCATTTCCGCTTAGGTAGGGGGGCTTACATTAACTCAAAATAGTTCAGATCAAATATCAGTATTCCCATAACAAAGTATACGTTTCAGTTTGATCACCTTGATGCTTTTACCACTGGTATTTAACCTTTATAAAATAGTTTAAAAAGTTGTTCAATATAAGTGTTCACTAACGCTTAAAAAGTACACTGAATCGAATTTTTCAGACTAGATTTGATCGTAGAAATAATTCTGAGTATATAAAATCGAAATACATTTCACAATCTTATTAAGTTTAGCTCTTGCCGCCAGAAAAAAATTGGCTTGAGTATGAAAGATTTAATTAGCTCCAATAGCTTGGGAGTAACTTTCCCTACTACGCTGTTAAATGACATCGTTTAGAATTTTTGGAAGAATCAATTGTCTAGGGTTACAGATATGCCTTGCCGATGAATATCAACAAGCTCGGAATCTAAATATAGAGCTTCCAAAAAAATTAACTAATTTTATATGGCAAATGACCTGATTTATAATCACGTTATTTTGATCCTCGACCGTTTGCCTGCAGATATATGAAATATTATTTACTTATAAATGGATGTTATATCTTCCCAGGTTACAGAAACCTTTTACCTGCTAGTTGACTCTAAGACACGTTTTATGAGCATTTCACGAACATTCTAAATGTTCTGACCTTCGGAATATAAATAAATTGTCATTTTTGCAGACAAAATCTTTAAAATTCTACCACAGCTTCTCTATAAAGTTTACCATAGAATGATTTTTAATGGATATTAATAAAAGCATACATCCCACTTGTTAAGGACATCAAATTATAAACAATACATTGAACAAATTTCCTACTAAGATTTATGGACAATATTTTCTATCACTTCGAACAAGATGATTGGTAAGTATTATTGAAAATAAACGTCCTAATACGACCTACTGCCAATCTTACGGTTCACATGAAAAACTAAATAAATTTGTTTTCTGATACATATGGATGTTTTATTTCCTGAGGTTATTATTTTCATCTGATCTGATTCATATAAAATTTGGTATAGATAAGGGCCACACAACCACAGAATAAAGAGACAGTGTTATGGAGAAATAAAAGAGGGAAAGAGAGTGTGGTCTAAGAAAAAACAGGCGAACAAGAATACTTTAAGATAGGAGATACAGGTCGGTTAAAAATACGTCTAAAAAGACTTCTTTCTGTTAAGGAAGCTCACTTCATGTTTACCAAAAATGTCAAAAACTATATCAGGACTGCCATCGGTTTTCGTTTTGAGCTACGTTTGATATCATCTCAGGCTCCTGAATTGAACTATTTCAATAACCCAAGTAAAGGAGTCACGAAGGACAGATAAGTGATTGTCCTCTAAAGTTTTCTTTTAAACCATGGAGCTATATCAAAAACTGATCACCTCTCTAGTTCTTAAAACCCGTCTTAGCATCGCTAAATAATACACAGTATAGAATTCGCTGGGATGATAATCGTAACACATGTTCAAGCCAATGAAATCGGTGTTTCAAAATGATGATACCAACTGAACTGGACCTCTGTATTATTAACAACGATGACTGAACACAGAGAGTCAATCTTTAACGGATTTCGAACAAACTGTGAAGTATTATGGGAGTCAATAGTTTGAATGCAACCGAAAACACACTTATCCTTCAAAAGTTATTGAACTTTTTACAGATGGGGTCAACTATCGCTTCACTGCAGGGTGTCGAATTTCTATGTCTTCTATATTTTTCAAACAATCTAATTAGTTCTCTGAAAGAAATTTCTCTACCATTCTTGAGTCGTCTAGGCCTGGTGACTTATGGCTCTTCGTAAGTTGAAATTTTTTAAGAACCTCGGCCCCGTTCGCTGGATTAGTCATCACCAGACACACAGTACAAGACAGTTTCATAGATGTTTCTGGAGCAAAATATCAGCTGAAGTCTTCCTCGCAAAACTCTGTTAAACATCCAAGACGCTTTTAGACGTTAATGATTGTCATCCCATTAGCTTCATAGATTTCTTTTAATCACACCAGACTTCTTGATGTCAGGGGGTTGGATGAGCTGGAACAGTTTTAAGCCAGTACCGGATGAAGCTGCGGCTTCCAACTCTTTGGCATGCTTCGACCACCAAACTTCCCGATCTTTACAAAAACTTGGCACAATTTATGCTTATCATTAAACTCTCGATTTGTGGAAGTACACCAGGGTGATTTAAGGAATTATAAAGAGCTTGAGGAGACTCTATACTTATAAGCTGGACGTTTCGAAAAGCCGCATAAGAATTTACTACCCATTACCTTGGCATTATGCAGTTGCAGCCAATGTTTATCCACATCTTCTCGTGAACCTGTAGCTAGCCTCGAACCTGCCCCTAAATGATCTGGTATGGCCGAGAGTGGGGAGAGTCAGCTCTCCCTCTCCAAATGCTCTCACATGTTCACGTGCATACAACCACTTCCGGGAAAGTTCTACTCACTGCCTTCTCGTGGTGAGGGTGTTTACGGAATTGAGAGGAAGAAAAGCGAATGTCCGGAACTTTAAACGGGTTGATGGACACGGAAGATCCACCTAGGGGAGTTGGAAAACCCTGATTCCAAACCAATGGTGCGCTGCGCTAAAGGTTCCTGAGGGAACAAACAACATGAACCAATTGTTGGTCACCGACTTACATGGAACTGCATCTCCTGATGTTGCCTCCCTGCCTTGTGGATCAGACCTTTAGGTCGAAGGCTCCGGGCGTGACCCCCTAAGAAAACCATCTGCTTCGGCTTGGGCTCCCGGGCAATATCCAAACTGCATATCTGTTCAGTGCCTCCTTGTACCAATGTTCATGTGTTTAAATGATGATAATAATATGGCTTGAACCTAGTTTGGTTCGATATTTCGATTGCAACGGAAGCTGCCCTCAATTCGTCTACAACAATCCATTAGAAACGATGAGTTTGTAGACCAGTGAGACGTAAGATAAGATTGGAGGAAACCAAAAGGAGCACCATTTTTGAATGTGACCATGCCAGCGGTAGCTGATCGCGATGTTATCAATCTGAGTATCCACTTGAGTCATCGTAGGAGCCCCACGCAGTATATCGTCGATAACCGTCCCGGGAGTGGGTGCAAGCCAGAAAAAGATTGCGGTTTGTGCAAAGTTTCTGGAGATCGGCATCGTTATCTAACCTTTGACCAACAAGTTCCCATCTGCCACTTTAGCTACTCGGTTTTGAGTCTAACTCAAAATAAAAACCATATATCACTTTAATAAAGTACGTCAAACAAGATCTCACCTCATCCAATACGAGAAACAAACCCTCACTACCCACAGGATATAGATAATGACGTAGTGGTACAGGACGGCAGTCAGATGAAACAACATGACATGGTTGATGGTGAAGGTGAGCGATCCATTCAGCAAACTGGCGAGCATTTGGAATAGTAGCACTAAGAAACACATAACGAACATTATCAGGTAAAAGCACTATAGTTTCTTCCCAAACCACTCCACGTTCAGGGTCACGCATATAATGGATTTCGTCAAATATAACCCAACCGACCTCTCGCACCATTGAAGCACCTCTGGGAAATAAAAATAGGACTTATCATTAAGTTTGAGGACATTTATATTGAACAATATATTTGCTAAAGCTGATTAACCTTCACACAATAGATGGGAGTTTTAGCATTTCAACACGTACATAGTGGTTAATTCTTACTATTATTTACCTGGTTGAAATTATATATTTGAATGAAGTTCAGCTAGCCATTTGAATATGGAGATTAAAGTTACCAACTTCGAGCCCAATTAACCAAGCAAAAACAAAAATTCATAAAGAAATTGCTGCTTAACAGTACGATGTTCACCAGAATTTAGAAACCACTTTATTGCTTACCCTTTCACTTCCGGAGTACAGTTTCACTTAGCAACCTATATTGAGGAAAATAGGAGTATTTTAAGCTGTTGTTTGCTAGCTGTCGCCGGTATGCCAAATTAAATACAGAGAGCGGTGACACGTTTGTCACTAGATTTGCTAAAGTGCTAGTTAGGTGGTTAATTTATCCGACAGTCGACCAAAAGGTACTCCATTTCCAGACATTTTAATATCATAATACGTATGCTTCAAAGGTAAGGATATATGTAGATTATATATATACTGAGATCGTGTTATAAGATAGAACCATCGAATGTTAAAATCAAGAGCAATATTATGGGTAAGAAGGGTAAGTCTGTAGTCTATGAAGGCATTCACTAAGACTAGATGATTCGGTTTTGTATGATGATTGGAGTTGAGTCCATTACACAAACTGTAACAGACCTATTTACGTAAGACTATGTTGCCAACACTTACTGCCATGCTACTCTTTTACAAGAAATAACTGAAGTAGTTAATATAATTATAAGTAATAATAAGTTAGGTAAAAATGACGATCTCACTTATACAACATGGATTGAAGGATTTCTGTGGTCATGATGAGTACACTAGCGCTGGGATTGATTGTAGCATCACCTGTAAGTAATCCTACTTCCGGGAAGGCTTCGAAGAATTCTCTGTACTTCTGATTGCTAAGTGCTTTAATAGGAGTAGTATAAATTACACGTTGTTTTTCCCGTAATGCTGTTGCGATTGCATATCTGAAATAACGCGATAAATGGATAGTTTGATGACAACATAGAAAACCTAAGAAAAATATTGGTCAAATGTTCAAGGATTATGAATCTTTTATTCCATCATAATGTACCTCCGCGTCAAAACATTTCACAGAATGGTACAGCTGGGGAACACTGTTTAACTTAGTAGCGGATTTGGAACAGTGAAGTGGTAATATTATGCGCTCACTCTGATTACCATGTTTTTGTAAATACCTTTCAATTATCCAATGGAGTTTGAAGAAACATTTTCCTAATAAAAAATTCCCGAGGAATATCCTGTCCAGTAACTCACTGAAATTACAAAGATTATTGGCGTTTAATACACGTATGAATAATTTGTAACTTCAACTTTAATGACAATGAACGACACTGCTTTCTACCCTTATCTCCTCTGCCCGTCGACAGAGGACTGAAGTTCAAGGTTGTCTAGAAGCTTTATTTATAGATCCAAAAAGATTAATTCACATTTGAATACAATTCAATATACAGAGATTACAATCAGTAATCAATATTTAAAGAAATTATCAAAATGAACAACCATAACACAGAATCAGTACAATTAGGTATTATACTGAACAGAAGTCAAACAAATGATAAACATTTTTGCATTAATTGACAGTAATTAATCTTATACTGAGCAAAAAGATATACTGAAGTAATCTAAAAGTCAAATAAACAGAAATCATACTGAGTTAAATTGAAAGCCAACTAAATGGACAAAACATCTAAATTAATATATAGTCTTTCACAATTTCTTCTAACCAGACTATATTTTAGGATTTAAGACCCTCAACAGTGACAGTAATGTCGGACCAGCAGAAGCGTGCAGATAATTATTAACTTATATACGACCCGGTTCTTGTGAGTCAGTCTTTTCAGAATCTGCATAATTTTCGCAGTACGAGTCAAAATTTTGGAAATATCTAATAGTGCAATTATACTCTGATGGTTGGCACAATTTCATAGGTTCTAATTACTTACCTTTACCTGCGTGTTTAATCTTACAAACTCCTTGGGATTTGGTAAGCTAAATTATTCTACCTGATGAAATTAGATGACTGGATGATAAAACTGATTGCTGATTGGCTATGAATGCTGAATATGTTCTTATTACTGTTAATGTTAGTGGATCTGTTAGTAACCATAAGATTTACGGACTAGAAGCACTATAAATTCACGTAAACACTATGAAGTATTAATACTTATTTCTAATTACTTTTTTTATTTTTAGTCTACCAACTTACTGATTCACATTTGATCTAGACGTATGAACACGTACCCACTTATATAAGGTCGAATAGGTTAGGTTTTCCTCAAGCACTAGTTCCTTGACTGTCTTATCTTCATTTGGTTTTCTAGCTCAATTTAAATTTTCAGTTAGTTCCGAATACAGTAACAGACATACAACAATAAAGCTTCTGCACCTGCTTCACATAGGCGGATTAAGCAAAACTGGAAAAAAACGACTAAAAGCATGAAGACCGATTCTAGGTGTTGAATAATTACCTTGAAATGAGTATGAATTGTGATCGAAATATTATCCAGTAAAAGATATTACTTCATTATGAAGTATAAATAAATAAATGAACCAACACGATTAACACTGACCCAATGCCTAAGTTTCATACATATTACGAGCATTTGGATTAGATTTTTTTAGTTGTAGAGACAATTTACGAATAACTTGATGCATAGTTAAATTATGCGAAAATCAAACCTTTTTATACGAGTTAATATTAGTCGCAAAACCCAATAAGATAACACATGAAAACCAAAGGCATATATATTTAATAACACCCATACTTGCACAAATTACCCACAGGCTGACTACTCGAAAATTTTGAGGTCTAACTTGAAATGTAGTCTTGGTGAAATACGTCTTAGGATTCGAGAACTGGATGAGTTTTGGTGATTCCGCGATTAAATAAACAACAATTTACTGAAAACTCTAGATAGACTTTTAAGATAGTGGTGAATCACGTGGAATGTATAAATACTCATTATATATACCAATAAAGTAAAATCGTTAGTATAAAACTTACTCAGCAACAACAGTTTTACCAGCTGACGTATGAGCCGATAATAGCACCGACTGATTATTATCAATACATATGATTGCTTGTTGCTGAAATGCATCAAGCGTGAAGGGAAAAGTTTTCGCTGGAAATCCACAATCTTTAATAATTGGCTTGTATTCAATATCAGGGGGAACAGCCACCTTTAGGGAAAAGACATACGGCCCAAGATAAAAACTACCTCGTGTGTACATGTTTCAGGTGAACTGATTTTATGTATTTGTATTCTGGGAGCATTAAATTCTAGAGTATCACCAACAGATAGTTTTGAACGTTTGGGAGAATCATCTGTAGAATCTTCCTCTACTTCTTTTAATAAGGGTTTGAGTGAAGCTTCTGCTCTGAAGATAAAAAAGTGCTTAACATTAAGTGCAATAGCAGCATTACAAACGTAATTGCTGTGAAAATAACAGAAAACCTTGGGAAAATATTGAATATCTTTGAGATTTGACACCAACGTGAAAGAATTATAGATAAGTCATATTTTTCTTTGCTCTTTAGTCAAACAATCGAACGAGCTGACTTAACGAATTCGCTGTTAAGTGAAACACGTTATCTTGGGTTGAAATGTAGCCAATCTTACAAATGTCATTAAAGCAACACTCACAGAAAGCAATATTCTCTTGCATCACACGTCAAGGAATGGTAAAGGTTAAAAATGATAGGAACTGAGTTAGGCGTTTTAAATGATAAAACTATGTTTGGCATTAAACTTTGGATTACTAAGCCATGCTTTAAAAAATATAGTTTGAACACATATATAATATAAGCATTTCTGTAACAAACATGGTCAAAACTCTACTGCTCCCGGTTACTACATTGTAATCGAAATTTGTTCTCTTAATGATGGCATATATATAAAGGAGTATAGTCAAAGTAAACGAAGTGGTTATGAAGTAGCGTTTTCAAACTTACTACTTGTGACGAATATCTTCTATGTCAAACATGGCCAAGAAAATTGGCAATGAAATGCCAACCGACCTTAATGCATTGGATGTTGGTAATTTCGTGAACTACGCAAGTAGAAGCAACAAAGGGTTTGGTGATATTCTAAGTCGATCTTAGATGTCAAAAAAGATTACAACGAATACAAAGTACGTGGAAAATACGGGAGAAATGTGTTAAAAATGTTATAGAAACCATGAGAGAAAAATTATAAACATAAATCAGAGAGAAGACAAAAGATATAGCACAACAAGGCGTTTTAAGCTTAAAATCGGGCAAACGGTGGGTAGATTTTCAACACCGTAACCACACCAGTTCAATTAATTATCTAAGGAATGATGTGGTCTTTAGTCATTAAATCTACAGTACCCAAATATGTAGAACGCTAGCCAAGTTTTACAAATCGGTAAAACCAGAAATTTCACAGTTCGAAATCGACAGTAATATACCGTATTACTTTATAATTAACTTGTAGTGAGGCACTTATCACAACAATTATAAATATATTAAAGAGGAAGAACGTATTTGGAAAATCTCAGCGAAAGAATTTGAAGTAAATACAACGTTTCGCCTGGCAATTGGTCCAAGCTTTTTCAAGGGAAATATAATCAAACAACAAAATTATCGAATATAAATAGGTACATGGTTCTCTGGTTTACTGTATACAATCAACGTTAACAATGTTTAAAGTAGGTATTTGCATTAGTGTGTAAGAGACATATGATGTGAAACAAAGTGTTAAGATAACAGATTGTATGTATACGTAAGTGATGTGAAAAGAAGTTTCATTCACTATATATTGTCTTCGATCAGTAGAATATTAGGAAAACACATAATATATGACATAAAACAAAAATGTCACAGCATGCATAAAATGAAGATAAATAAACAAGATAAAACATTGAATTCAGAGAGGAATGTATTTGTAATTGAAAGTCTGTGTTATTTTAATGTTCCAGTCAATTGTTTAACATATTCAGATAAGGTAACTGATTTGAACCGTTGAATGTATTATCTATTGATTAGTTAATATGATATGGATAGCTAGAATGGAATAAGGAGTTCAGGTTTACTTATTAACTAATAGCTGCCATGGGACAGCTAGTTGTATTTCATCTCTCCTATTAATACTGTTTGGATTAGCCCATATACGTAGGGCTTCGGCTGTCAGTCGTTCTTTGTAAGATTTTACAAATACATTCTCCCTCTTTAATGTCTCATATTAACTCGGCGTCGAAATATTGTGAAACTATTCGCTCAAATTTAGACGAAAGTTCTTAGTAATTATAAGTATAGTTACAACCACGACAAAATATAATCTTAAAATAAAGCTTTCCTTGCTAATAGCATTAACACCACACAACTGATTTTATTTTCATAGGTATGGGAAAACAAAACTTAAGACGTATTCCTTAAGATCCAAGTAACCATGCAATAGAGGTTCTTAATTGAGCAATCTAAAAAAACAGTGGTATTTTCCCTCGCTACGTCAAGTTTATGCTGTAGATTATTTATTATGCACCGAGACCACTGTTTCCACTTCATTTGGATTTATTTTAGTTACAGTAACACCAAGAGTTTTGTTTTTTAGAGGATTTTTTGCATCTGTACTCTTATTGAGTACAACATATTTTTGTGCACAGTACTTTTCGAACCTAACAGTTCGTGACTCGCTCTTTGTCCAACTTTTTTGATTAGCAGTTTTTGCATCAGAGTGTTTCTTGCCTAATTTATCTGAAAAGACTTGGTTGCTGACTAGTGTGAAAAAAATCAGTTGTCAATGGCCAGGTTGTCGAGACCCGGTGGATGGTGGTACACAGTGCGATGAGTGAAAAGAATGGTACCACGAAATTTGCACAAATCTAAAGCCTGTAGCTTTAGAAAGGTTTACTAAACCCGGGTCTGCGTGATTGTGCTATCAGTGCTGCTCGAACGCAGAGCTTGCAATCAGAAACCGTTGCAATAGTGAATGTTGCACGTTGACAAACGCAACCGAGACCAGTCTGATGATTCTTCCAGTATCAATATACAAATCCATGTGCAGTCATCTCAAGTGGACTAAAAATAGACTGACATACGTGGGCAGAAGAAAAGATCAGACCCAAAGAGGTCTGTATTTATTTATTTATTTTAACACATAGATATTAGTACAAGGAGGCACCAAATACATATGCGCCACACAAATCTCATCCGATATGTGTGAGGGCTGTGATACTGCCCGGGTGCCCAAACCGAAACAGGTGATTTTCTTAAGGGGCCACACCTGGAGCCTTCGACCTGAAGGTCTGATGCACAAGGCAGTGGAGCATCGTAAGGAGATGCAGTCCCATGGGAGCCGGTGACCAATAATTGGTTCATACGCCATTCGTTCCCGCAGGATACTGGAGCCCATGTGCACCACTGGTTTAGAATCTGGTTAAAGCGCCGGACATTCGCTTTTCGTCCTCTCATTTTCGTAAACAACACCCCTGCCACGAGAAGGCAGTGAGTAGGACTTTCCCGGCAGAGGCTGTATACGCGTGGCCATGTGAAAGTTTTTCGAGAGGGAGAGCGAACTCTCCCCACTCTTGGCCGTACCAGGGCATTTGGGGGCAAAGAGGTCTGTTAGAAATAACAACTTAACGAAGGTTTCTTTTGTGTCTTGCACTCCAAACAGCAACAGTCAGGAAAAGCGCAGCAAACCCTGTCGTAAGGTTAGGTCTGTTTTTAGGAGGAAAAACAGCATAAGCCATAACCTGACCACCCAATATGACAACAATTATTTAAGGTTTCGCAAGGTATGTGATGCAACTGCGATTGCAACTCGACTGAGAAGTGATAAATGGATACGATGTAAGAATAAGAAACGACCTGTTATAAAATAAAGGTGGTTTCCTTAATCATAGTTAAGATGTCAAAGTCTGATCATAGTGATATGTTAGTTACCTTTTATAGAGTAAGGGAAAATGAGAGAATTGAGCCCAAAACTCGCTCTGACCTTGATATAAGGTTGATAAAATGTCTGGATAGCTAGCTAATACCTCAAAGTATCTCTGGGGTCAACTTGCTAGAAAGTCATAGACTAGGTAGCCAGATGGACAAAAAAGAAAATCAAACCAGGTGCTGAAAGTAGTATTTAAATCCTTCGAATATATGGGACTTAATAATACAGAATGGAAATAAGCAAAAGAGACCAGTTTTTGTATGTAAAGACTTGTTGCTACCTGACCATATTGAAAATTGAGAGGCTGAGAAAGAACTAAAACCAAGATATGGTGTACGTGAAACTGACCAAAAAATTGATTTCCGAATAAGGCCCTGACAGAGAATGATCCCGAGGTCACTTTAGTTGCAGCAAGAAACCATTTAAATGGTCTTCAGATCTGTTACACAAACGCTCGGAGCTTGTTCAACAAGCGATCGGACCTAAGTACACAGATAGATTCTACCAGACCAGAAATAATCAATGTCACAAAAAATCCGCTCAGTCAATCTGAGGATAGTGAGGAAATTAATTTCGGAAATTTCACATTGGTAAGAGCCGAGAGAACCCAGAAGCTTGAAGGAGGAAGAGTAGCTTTATCCATTAGAAATACTATCCCGTTACCGTTATTGATAACATCCCATGAAAGTGAAATATGTGAAACAGCTTGAGGTATTCGGGAATCTGTTATTGCACCGCACATTCCTTGTATTACACTGAGGAATTAGAACTCCACAGAAAGGAGGTCCGCAACCTCATCCGTAAGAGGGAAAGAATGTGGGAGAGATTCAGGTTATTGTTACTGCTGAGATGAAATCTGCTTCGATTTGGGCACGCGAGCAGTATTACAGCCCTCACACAAATCAAATGAGATTTGTGTGGCGCATATATATTTGGTGCCTCCTTGTACCAATATCTATGTGTTCAAATAATAATAATAATAATAATAATAATAATAATAATAATAATAATAATAATAATAATAATAATAATAAAAATAATAATAATAATAATAATAATAATAATAATCAACATCTGGAAGCTCGAAACATTTGTGTCTCGACTCTATGCAAGTCTAAAAACTAAAGAAAAGCTCGTTAAGGGTATATAGAGTACCCTAAACGCTTATAATCGTACATAAACCAAAAGACTGAGAGAAGAGGCAACATCCTAGAAGTGCGACATCACTAGTGCAGGACAATTGCAGCAATGCTTGGGCATTCTCAAGTAACTTTAGCAGTGTATATACCGAAGAGATACCCTCTCCTCCAGTTTATACAAACCCCCGTGCATACTTTGGACACAATGACCATCAGACAACTCGATATTTTTGGTCTAATAAATAAGCCTGATACAGGCAAATCTATGGAATAAATCCAAAGGGATTAGCGAATTTTATCGCAAATTCCTTAAGCATATATTTTAATTTATCTGCAACCCAAGGTAGACTACTAAAGGATTGAAAGTACGCTATAGTAAGTCCTGTATTAAAAACAGGTACAAGATACAAACCTGAGAACTACCGACCCATAAGGCTAACCAGAGCGGTTGTTAAGATTTTATGAAAAGCTATTCGGAAGTTGTTGAAATATCTAGACGAAAACCTGGTTCTTTCTGGAAAACGGTATGGTTTTATAGCAGCTTATTCATGACTCATAAACTTATTAGTAGATCGTCAAAGTTGGTGTGCTCTTGAAGATCAAAAGCTACCGACAGATACAAACTTCTGGGTTCTATCGGCTCTTACCAATGTGAAATTTCCAAAATTAATTGACCTCAGTAAAGTTTTTGACAATTTTCTGGACAACAGTAGTTATCTAGGTTGAGATATCAGGATTGGAGGTAACTTAATTATGTAGATAAAGTACTTCCCTGTTTCGTGTCAACAAAGAGTACAGGTTGACTCCAAGCTGTTTAGCTGAGAAACTGTGTTTAGAGAAGTTCCCCAGTGCACTGTTTCTGGGCCAGTATTATCCCTCCTGTATGTAAATGAACTTCTTAGTCTCCTTACATTAGTAACGTTGTTGTATGCTGACGATATCAGTCAGTCATCTGCAACGTAGGACAGGGCACATATATGCATCGGTCCAAGTTGCTATACTTCATTGACTCAACAACATGATCACCAAATTCATAGAAGCAGTTACTTCAATGGTAGTAATATATAAAAGAAAATTGCATATAAGGATATAATACAGGAATAAAGAATTAGTTCGTTGAAATAAAAGTATTAATTAATTGTAACCTTACGGTTTAAGGGAAGACAAACAGTGCATACAACTACACCATTGTGATTGATTTTGAGCCATGTCATCCAGTCTCCAACCACTGGTTACGATCGTCAGGCGGACCCCAACCAAGTAGTCTGCATCTACCAACATGATCGAGACTAGGAGTTAAACTCCAGGAAATGATGCCACGTTTGGCTTTGGCCACCCCTAACTTTCTTCCAAACGTTTCCAACACTAGTCAACATTGTACGTCGTGGCAATTGGTGTTTGGGCATGCGTGATACTTGGCCTGATCATCTCAGTCGATGTAGGTTTGCAACCTCACCAACTGATTTACCATCATTCCCTAACACCCTGCGTCTAACCTCACTACTACTTACCCGGTGATCCCAGAAGATGCGAGCAACATTTCTAGGACATCTGTGGTCGAATACTAGTAACTTACGAGTGTCCTCTATCCTCAATGGCCACGTTTCGCTTCCGTAAAGTAGAACAGAACGAACTGCCACACAGTATACTCGTCTCTTAATTGGTAGACAGATATCTCGTCTTCTCCATAGGTGACGTAAGTTGGCAAAAGCCAAACGAGCCTACTGAATCCGTGCTGAGATTTCGTCAGATACCAACCCACTAGGGCTGACCAGACTTCCAAGAAAAGTGAAGTTGTCACCGCGTTCGACTGCTCCACTCCCTATCCTGAGTTCAGGTGTTGGCTCAGGCCAACCCTGGAGCAACAGTTTGCATTTAGAGGGGAAGAAACGCATTCCAAACATTCCTGGCATTGTTGCTTAGTGCTACCAAAAGACTTTGCATTTTAACGTCTTCACCAAACAGGACTATTTCATCTTCCCCAAATGCCCCGGTACGGCCGAGAGTGGGGAGAGTCAGCCCTCCCTTTCCATATGCTCTCACATGGCCACGCGTATACAGCCTCTGCCAGGGAAGTCCTACTCATTGCTTTCTCATGGCTTGGGTGTTGTTTATGAAATTGAGAGGACGAAAAGCGAATGTCCTGTGCTTAAACCGGGTTAGTGGTGCACATGGACTGGCTTCAGTATCCTGAAGTAACAAACGGCGTATGAACCAATCGTTGGTCACCGGCTCCCATGGGACTGCATCTCCTTACGATGCTCCACTGCCTTGTGCATCAGACCTTCAGGTCGAAGGCTCCAGGTGTGGCCCCTTAAGAAAATCACCTGTTTCGGTTTGGGCACCCGGGCAGTATCACAGCCCTCACACATATCGGATGAGATTTGTGTGGCGCATATGTATTTGGTGCCTCCTTTTTTACCATGATATGGAGAGCTAAAAAATCGATATTTTAGAGCCTTCAAATGACCTGTAAAAATTATCTGAATGGTCCGAACAGTCCATTATGATGTGTAGTGGTCGTCAAGGCACAGATACACGGTGAACAATGTTGAGCTGCCAGTTGTACAAACACAATGATATAATCAATACCTAAATATTGCACACTCCCGTGCGACAGCAGCCAAAGGTTCTAGAAACCTCTGGTCAATATGTAGTCTTCAGCCATGTAGACGCTAAGGCTTTTCTGATTTAGTGGTGTTTGTTTATCGTAAACTCCAGTATTGGGTGCAACCAGACAACCCAAGCCTAAAAGAAGACAGTGAGCTCTTGAGAAAGATCCAAAGAACAACAATCAAGTTGATTTGTGGGATCACAAAGTTGTCGTATGACAAGACTGACTAAACTAAGCTTGTTTCCCGTGTCATGTGAAAGGTTCGGAGATGACCTGGCCACACTATCTAGGTTACTTAAGGACAAATTTACATTTGATACCCTCACCTGTTAGTCTTCGAAAAAAGAATTTATGAGGACACTACGAAAATGTCTGTAAGCCCTAAACAAATTACGGCGAGACTATAATATATGCACGAACCAATCAGTCTTGGGTTTTGGCGGGAAATCAACTTATTCATTTGGCTAAAAAGTTTTGACATTATAGCTAATGTCAGTTTGTGATGAAAACCATACAGTTAATTCCTAGCCCGAACTATCAATCGCAAATATTAATCATGACTACTCACAGTAGTTTCTAACCCTCATTTAGCCGTACTACGTAGGTGGACATTCTCAACCCGACCTCCCTATTTTGGGGGAAATTTGAACCGTTTTGGAGAAATTTTAGGGAAGCCGCTATAGAAACTTTTGAGATGGCATAGAGACCTCGAAATTTCCCTTTAACCTTGGTCAAGGCCATTTGACTTTGGGAATTTTCCCAAAGTCTGGTGAGTAATTTGGCTTTGGAGGTTCCCCCAAAATTCACTCGAAATTCCCTAAAACTTCCCCAAACTTAAGAGATTGTGAAGGTCTTTTTAGCGTCGTTCAAAGGTCGTTCATAAATTATGGTCTCTCGAAAACACTACTACCGAGACTAATACAGGCACTCAGCCTCCTGTCCATCTAAAATGGAAAAAAAATGCAGATTGACGCTGAATAACCACTAGGCGTTAATAACAGCGCACGATATGCCGTACTTCTTTGTGGAGAAAACGTTGCAGATTTGTGTTGAACACAAAACAGCATTTATACTTGAAGATAATGGAAACTCCTGAAGAATCCACCATATAATGGGTCCAAAACTCGATAAACCTTTTTCAGATCGCGGGATGAAAATCTACAGTTGCATATACATGAAATAGATATTTAGGATATTTAGGTACTGAACCATCTACATAATACCTCACTAACATAGGTAAAACAGTCCTATAGAAGAACCATTGTGAATGCTCCTTTACGAGGAACAACGTTTAGAAATCTATTAAACTTACTTTCGCTTTTTTTCTTCAAAGTCACCAGGCTGTGTAGAACCGGTATCTACAAGAGTCTCAGAAGATGGTTTTTTAGGATCGAAAGCTGACGTCAATTCATCCAAATCTAAGCCAAAAGCAGACATGATATTCAAAATCCCTCCTTCATATGACCCTTGACACTCAATATCCAATATCCATATGTTGAGGTTATTTTAAACGATTGATGTTTCCAGCTCTCTTCGTGCTATTTTTATATAGTTTCAGGTCTTAGGTGATGTTCAATAAGTGTATCTAAGCCGTTTTACTACTCTATTTTTATCATTTTGGTCGTTATTTCTGGGTGTGTAGATCTTGTAATCAGAGTGGACTTGTCCCAGAGCAGTAGGGTTTCTGAGATACGTGATTATCACATTACCGGAATGAAAATTAGTTAAGCACAGTGTGAAAACAATAGAAATAAAATTTACATGTTGACAGATGATTGTTTCAGAAGTTAAATAAACAATTAATTTAGGTATTTGGAAATATAAATGATGTGAGTAGTCTAAAGTATAGGAATAAGAAAGGCAACATAGATAATAATAATTAGTGAAATAGAAATATGATATGCGATAGTTACAATGGCACATAAGTTACGAGACCTGTGTTAGGCACAACTAGCCCAAGGCGAAGGCGGTAGTCCATGTTTCTGTAGAACTATGGTGTACTATGATGTTCGTACTGCTCTAATAATATACCTAATCCTAAAATTGTGTACTTGTCATGATATAACTGCCTAATCTATAAGATCTTACATAGAAATCATACCATCGTCTTCACCAACTCATTGCATCGTAGCAATTACCAATACATGATGGAGAACAAGCTTAGGCTAGAGGTAGAACAATATGTTTAATATGAATAAAAGATATAAGATAGCATCGAACAAGGACCACGCCTGCAAGGCCGAGCCATGCCATTCGATCAACTACAATTAATTCAACTCCTTGTTCCCGCCTTCTCCATCGTTAGGTATTTCTCCGCGTTAAATATTGAATATCTATTTTCCGAGTAGTCTCCTATTAAGCTTTGAGAATTGTGTGGTTATGGTCTTATGCCACTACACAGCTCTCCCACCAGAATCAACATGATGTTGTTTCGATATCAATTTGAGTGGGGTTGTCGCGCGCCGGAGGTTACGAAGAATAGTGTAAAACCTCCGGGTATTGATCAGCTGAAAGATAAATCAAAATGTCTGGTTTAGTTCTTAACACGCTTAAAATGAAAATTTAGGTGAGGATTATTTGAGCTAAACAAAATGGGGTTATAATAATAATAAAATGACTCAGTGTCATGATATTTTAATAAGGCGCCGTAAGATATAACTTATAGGTAGTACATATTTTGTGTTCAGATATATTAAAAACAACCAATATTGTAGAAATGTTAATATTGGTACTAATTTCGTTTTAGTTAGGAAATCAAACAACGTTTATGTCCGTAAGTTGTCCATATGACTTGATTTCCAACTGCATCCGTATTAGTAGGTAACTAAAGGAACAAAAGTATAACCGTGGAAAATAATTCCAAGTAGTGTTCCAGTTAGTTTGATACGGTTTATTTAGTTACGTGGAGATTTTCTCGACCTCATTTTTACTTGATCGTGATAGAATTTAGTAATACTACAAATGCATATGAATGGTTATAAAAAATCTAAATACGTGAGTGATAATTCTGTGAATTTTGGACAGATGGCTTAGAACAAATCGTTAAACATGAATGTACTCGTAAGAGATATGCTCTAGACTCAATGTTCTGATTTGCCATAGACTATTTATTCACATTCATACCTACCGGCTGATGGTACATACAAGTTAGTTGCAAGTATGTAGTTCAGTATAAGACGGAATACGATTTCATTGACATATAGTGACTATAATTTACTGAAATCAGTTAAGCCACTTTTCTCGGTGATGTGGTGCTGCAGGATGTATTTGGCTAAATAAGTTCAGATGATTCGAGTGGTTGTGGACAGAATAGAAGCTTTCGCTTAATATGTTTCCGTGTCTAGTAGCAAAGGATCGAGAAAATACCCCCAGGCAGGAACCTAGATATATTAACTATAAAAGAGGAAAAAGAAATTGGTAAATCATAGTACGACACTATCCTTAGACCTCAAGAATAGACCTAATTTCCTCTTAAATAACTCTTGGGAAGTGCCTTGAACTGGCTTCGCCGGCAGTGAATTCCAGCATTTGACAACTCTTAAGGAGTAGAAGCTGTGTCTGCAGTCCGTTCTGCTATGTTGTGTCACCAATTTATGGGTGTTCCCCTTGGGTCAGTATTGAGACTAAGCTTACGTAGGTGTTTGAGAGGATGACCAGAAGTTTTGAGCGTACTGTAAGCCATCAGAGGGTCATCTCTAAGACGCATATACTCTAATGTGTAAAGGTCTAGTGACTGGAGGCACTCTTCATAAGGTCTAAATTTGAGTCCTCGAACTGATTTCGTGGCTCGACGTTGGATACGCTCCATAGTGACCTTGTCCTTTTGGAGTGAGGGGGGAGTACTATGTTTCCGTACTCCAAATGGGGACGGATGAAACTATTGAAGGTTGTATGGAAAGTTCGTCCGTCAAACTGTCCAAAAATGCGCTTCAACGTTACCAGTGCAAGGTTTGCTCGGAAGGCATTTTTGTCACAGTTGGCGTAAGACTTTAAATCATAGGGCACCAGGACTCCTAAATCTTTTTCGACTTAGGATACTACTAGAGAGGAGTTTCCTAAGCTGTAACTGTAGTTTGCAACATGTCGCAGATGGACTACTTTACACTTTGAAGTGTTAAAGGTAAGTCCGTTATCGTCTGCCCAACTTTGAAGTCGAGTCAGATCCTCCTGAAGTGCATGTATATCGTCTTGGTTGCGTATCTCTCTCCAAAGTTTCACGTCGTCGGCAAAAAGTAATAAGTCTGACGTTACCTGTTGAGGAAGATCATTTGTGTAGATCAAGAAGAGAAGAGGTCCTAGTACTGAGCCCTGGGGGACCGCACCAGGATATTCCATAGCCTGAGATAAAGTGAAATTAACCCTAACCTTAAAGTGTCGATTTTTTAGGTATGAAGTAAGCCAATCGATTAGAGGTGGTCTGATACCCAATCGTTTGAGCTTATTGATAAGACATGTATGGTTAACCTTATCAAAAGCTTTTGAGAAATCTAGGTAGATGATATCAACCTTCCCCTTGTGATCGATGATGCTTGTCTATCTGTCCACCGCAGTCAGCAGGTTGATATTACAAAGTACCCCTTCCTGAAACCATACTGTTGGGGTGAGAAGAAAGTTGAGGATAGTAAATAGTCATTTATACCACCGCATATCAGGGACTCCATGATTTTTGAGGTTATTGAGAGAAGAGCCACCGGTCGGTAACTTGAAGGTTCGCTGCGTCGACCTCCTTTGAAAATTGGTATGATGTGAGCCAGTTTCCAATTTTCCGGTAGTTTTCCTAGACTTAGCGAGTGTGAGAACATCACGCTAAGCGGCGTTGCCAAGATTGAGGCTGCTTCCCTCAATATGGCCGAATGAACCATATCCGGGCCAGGAGAAGTGTCTAATCTAAAATGCTGCAGTTTCTGGAACACCACGTCAGCGCTTAGGTTCACTGCGGAAAGTCCTATGGAATCGCAAACGAAACTGTCATCAGTAAAGTTAGTGTCGGTCGGTTGAAATGTCTGGGAGAAATGTTCAGCCAGAAGGTTAGCGGCGTCGCCATCGTTATTGGTCGGGCCGTTAGGACCTAGCAGTTGGGGAACTCCAGTTTTGGCTTGACGCAGAGAGGCTGCATAACGGAATAAGCTTTTAGGATTACAGGAAGATTTATCCATAAGCTTTGTCTGATACTGAAGCCTATCTTCTCTTATAGCCTTCGTGCATATGTTCCTTATATGTTTATATTGCCTATACGCTCCGTCGTTATCAGTTCGTTTGTATTCTGCCCAACAGTGCCTTTTGTAGCTTAGCAGGCGAAGGGTACGGTTCTTGATTATTGTAGGTAGCTTGCAGCTTTTGGGAACCGTTTGAGGAACTGAATGGTTTGTAGCACATAAGAGCGTGTGCAGTAGGAAGTACCAATGACCCTCCACGTCGAGTTGAGGGTGAACATCCCAAACCACCTGTTGTAGATAGTCGTGTAGAGCTGGCACATTCAACCGTTTAAAATTCCAACGCAAGTTATTGGTGGGGTATCTTGGCTTAGTTTTGCTGACAAAACTGAAGGCCATTACGGCATGATCGCTTTTTCCCAGGAGAGCCAAGATTGAGAGGTTGTCAACCAGAAATTCTTCGTTTGTGAATACACAGTCTAAGTGCGATGGCGTCTGACTGTTGCTCCAACGAGTTGCCGACCTCACATTTTCGTACAATCCCAAGTCATCGATGAGGTTGAAGAACCGAGCTTCAATTGAATTGTCGCCTCCAGTATACGTGTGTTCCGCGAAGTTGACTCTAGGGAGATTAAAGTCCCCTAGAATCAGGATGTGTGTGAAACCGAGACGAGTAGAGCGGGATAGTCCTTCCAGCATACGACTATCGTACTCGATGTCGGCAGTTGGCTTCCTGTAAATGACTCCGACTAGACACCTCGAAGTACTTGACAATCTTGCAGAGCACCATATAGATTCCTCAAGATTGTTAAACTTGAGGTTATGAACTTGATGCACCTCCAAGCAAGAACGTATGTAAACAGCTACTCCGCCCCCATATCCTGATTTTCTATCATTGCGGAACAAAGACATCCCAGGTAATGCTAACTCATGGTCCGAGAACTGATAAGATATCCAGGTTTCAGATATTCCTATCAGATGGGCTTTATTAGCATTGCTAAGTTCACGTAATTCATTCAATTTGTTTGGTAGACTCGCGGCGTTCAAATATAAGCAGTTTATGTTTTCAATTTGGAACGCGTGAGCTTCGTCCTGTTTGTCTGTATGAGCCTTACGTGAATGGACAGGTAGCCCACCTATATGAGGGTTGCCGAGGTGGTAGGCCCTGTCCTTTACATGTTTTTTTATCGTCTAGACAGTTCACAAGTGGAATGGTCAGCTCCAACTTGCTTTTGTGTTTAGTCCTAGCTTCGTATGGTCTATCCGGGTGCATGTGGATTCCAGGTGCCAGTCGACGTCTGTTGGCACGAAA